CGTATTTTAATTCGTTATCTGTTAAGGTTCGTGAGGCGTATGCTATCGGTAGGTCTTTATTTATCTCTCCTTGTGATAATATTCCTCCAACGGCTGTTCCTGATGCATCGGTCGTTAAAATGAATGATTTGGAAAAATCTGGGTATTGCAGTACTGGCTCTTCGCACAGTTTTTGTTTTAAAATTTCAAAAGATTCTTCTTGCACAGATGTCCACTCGAAGCGGGTGTCGTTTTTTAATAAATTTGTTAATGGTTTGGCGAATTTTGAAAAATTCGGTATAAAGCGTCTGTAATATCCTGCAAGTCCTAAAAATTGTTTAATATTCTTAGGTGTTTTAGGTCTTGGAAATCGTTGTACCGCTTCTAATTTTTTCGGATCTGGTTTTACTCCGTCTTTACTGATTACATGTCCCAGATAAGTTACTTCTGTTTTCAAAAATTCGCATTTGTCTGGCTGTAATTTTAAATTAGCTTCTCGAAGACGTTCCATTAAAGCGTTGTATTTTCTTTCGTGTTCTTCTAAAGACGTTGCATAGATAACAATATCGTCCATATAAACGAATAATTCTTTGCCTTGTAACCCAGTTAACACTAAGTCCATTAGGCGCTGGAAAGTAGCCGGAGCATTTTTTAGACCGAACGGCATTCGGTCGAATTCGTAATGTCCAAAAGGAGTAGTGAAAGCTGTTTTATGACCATCTTCGCGGTTCATTTTTATTTGATGAAATCCAGATGCTAAATCGCATACTGAAAAATATCGAGCTCCTCCTAATTGGTCTAATATATCGACGATATTTGGTAAAGGATATGCGTCTCCGATAGTTTTATCATTTAAAGCGCGAAAATCTAATACCATTCTCCATCGTTTATTTCCTTTGGAGTCTTCTTTCTTAGGTACAATCCATATAGGCGTGTTATATGGTGATTGTGAGTGTTTTACAATTCCTCCTTCTAACAGTTCTTCTACCTGCTTGTTTATTTCCTCTTTATGAATTTGCGGAAATCGATACTGACGAGTGTTTATTGGTTGGTCATCTGTAGTAGGTATTCGATGTTGTAAGACGTGAGTTGCGGTTAACTTTTCTCCAGGAATATGAAATCGATCCTGACTGTCCGTTATTAATTTTATAATACTTTTTCTTTCTGTTTCATTTAAATGTTCTAATCGCAATGATTCTATGATTTCGGCAGGTCGATTCTTTCCTTTTTCTTCGGAGATTGTTAGACAATTATGCAAATTATAATTTTCAACTTCTTGTTTTCTTTTATATCTTGTTTTGCGTTTTCGCATAAATTTTTCTAAAATTTCTTGAGATTTATTCAACAAGGATATAAGGATTTTTGAAGACGGTTTATTTTTATTTTTAATATTTCGTAGATTCGAATTTTTAATTTTTAAATTATATTTTTGAGCCTCTTCAAGGAGGTCTTTCATTGCAACATGAGAGGTTTTTAGTTCATTATCATTTTTTTCTTTAAATAATCCAACCTTAGGAAATTTGATATCTAGGGAGAATAAAGGACTTCTCCTTTTTTTGGAATAAGGTTTTGCCGAAATACGTAGCGAGGTTTGATAATTTTCCTCCTCGCAATCGACGGAGCTAGGATTTTCTGACAAGGTATGGAAATTTCCCTCCGAAATCGTAGAATTATTCCCTTCTTGAGAGGATTGGTAATATCTCTCTTCGAGGGTTTTTAAATTAACTAAATTTTTAGGAGAGGTTTGGTAATTTCCCCCTCCAGGAATGATTACCGGTCGGCGTTGCTGTGGATCGCGAAAGCGATATTTCTCTGCTCCATGCCCACGCTTTTTTACAAATTTGACATACTAATACCGCGGTTCCGAAATCAATTTGGTTGTTAACTTGTTGAGATGTTTGTAAATATTTCTTGCAGTTACTGCCTACGTGCCCTTCCTTATAACAGATTTGACAAATTTCCTTTAGACTGTTAGTTTTCTGTCTACCTGAACTGTTATCTATTCCCTGTCGTAAATCTGTCATTTCTCGGAGCTCTCTCTCTATCCTTAAAGCGTCGGCTGCAGTTTCTTGTACATTTAATAAATTTCTTGCAACTCGTTGTTCAATCTCTGGTTTTAACCCTCTAATAAAGCACTTGCACATGTCCTTTTCTAATGATGCTTTAATATTTTGGTCAGACGACACGTTTCCCGAACTTCTATATGTTTCTAAAATTTGTTTTCCAAGAATCTTTACTCTATTTGCATAAGTAATTACATCTTCATCACCCTTTTGGTATATACAACCCAATTCCCCTTGTAATTGATAAACGTTTTTTGATGGTCCATAAATTTGTTTTAAATATTTAGTTAATTGAGAAACGCTATCAAAATCTTGACCTTGTATAGTTCGGCGAGCCTCCCCTATTATCCTGGTTCTTATTATTTTGGTAAACTGTGATTCAGCCTCACTAGGCAACATAGATTTCGCTTCTTCACATCCCTCGATAAAATAATTTAATGGAATATTTTGACCGTCAAAATAAGGGACGGCTTCGACCGCGTATTTCAAAGTAGCGAAAGAATTATTTTGAGTCATGTTGCTGCCGGTACCGCACAGGTCTTTCTTTTTTTCGGATTTATTAAATTCAGGTATAATAGTCTTATCGCAGGAATCGGCAAAATGAGACTCGGCCGCTGTTTCGCTAAACTTTTTTTCGAAATCTTTTTCAATTACCGTTTCGTCTAATGAAAAATTAATGTTATTAGTAGTTTTATTAGGAGTGGAAGTGTGATGTGTTTCTGATTGGTTAGATTTTGTTCGATTGTATGTTTCCTGAGCAAGCTGAAAATTTCGTTCTACTTCGTCTTTATCAGCTGTACCTCTTGTCCCTTTACTCATTCCAGTTTAAAAGATCGCACATTACAATCCCGGACGAGCCCCCAAAATTTAAAGAGAGCAGTATGTTACGTCCAGACTCGAGGAAGGATGAGTCGACGGAAGGGCGCAACAACTATCTTTATTTATCCCGAAGTCAAACGTCTCGTGGCGTTTGGTATCGGGTCGAACGAACTGACAGATCCGAAAAGCAGGTAAACGACTGAGTCGCTATTACACTGTTTTCGGAAGTTCGCTCGGCGGTCCCTTTTCGGTCAGAGAATTTAATCTCTTTTACGCGGGATGGGACCAAGTGCGATCTTTCGACTAGAGGAATGAGTGGGGGGTTTAATTGTTATATGGCGATTGTGAGTGTTTTACAATTCCTCCTTCTAACAGTTCTTCTACCTGCTTGTTTATTTCCTCTTTATGAATTTGCGGAAATCGATACTGACGAGTGTTTATTGGTTGGTCATCTGTAGTAGGTATTCGATGTTGTAATACGTGAGTTGCGGTTAATTTTTCTCCAGGAATATGAAATCGATCTTGACTGTCCGTTATTAATTTTATAATGCTTTTTCTCTCTGTTTTATTTAAATGTTCTAATCGTAACGATTCTATGATTTCGGCGATTCTTTTCTTTTTCTTCGGAGATTGTTAGACAATTATGCAAATTATAATTTTCAACTTCTTGTTTTCTTTTATATCTTGTTTTGCGTTTCCGCATAAATTTTTCTAAAATTTCTTGAGATTTATTCAACAAGGATATAAGAATTTTTGAAGACGGTTTATTTTTATTTTTAATATTTCGTAGATTCGAATTTTTAATTTTTAAATTATATTTTTGAGCCTCTTCAAGGAGGTCTTTCATTGCAACATGAGAGGTTTTTAGTTCATTATCATTTTTTTCTTTAAATAATCCAACCTTAGGAAATTTGATATCTAGGGAGAATAAAGGACTTCTCCTTTTTTTGGAATAAGGTTTTGCCGAAATACGTAGTGAGGTTTTATAATTTTTCTCCTCGCAATCGACGGAGCTAGGATTTTCTGACAAGGTTTGGAAATTTCCCTCCGAAATCCTAGAATTATTCCCTTCTTGAGAGGATTGGTAATTTCTCTCTTCGAGGGTTTTTAAATTAATTAAATTTTTAGGAGAGGTTTGGTAATTTCCCCCTCCAGGAATGGTTGGATTTATTAGATTTTCAGAAGAGGTTTGATAATTTCCCTCTCCAAAGATTTTTGAATTATTCAATTCTTTATTTTTCCTCTCAGTTTTATTTTTTATCATTTCTTTATTTTTAATTTTATTCTTATTTTTATTTCCTTCTTTATTTAGGGTTTGTTCTTCGTCTTCGTAATTAATTTCTTCGATAATAATATTTTTTTCATCCACATTTTCACCTTCATTTTCAATATTCATATTATTTTCATAATCGTCGAATCCGTAAGTAGTTTCTTCTTCCTTATTCCTCGGTTCTTTTGAACTATTTAGAGCCTCAATTTTTGAGTCATGGTCGTCTAATAATTCGCTCAATGGTTTTAGGCGCAAAGTCGGAACATGTACTTCCGCCTCTTCATCTAAAGTACTTATAACGTTTAAATATGCCTTTCCGGCAACGTTCTCCACGATGGTGTCTCCCAAATAAATTCCATGTGTCACTTTTAGTCTTGGTATATATCCTACTTTTAGTTCTGGATTTTCTATTCTTACATAAAATAATGATTCGGATCGCGGAGCTACTATAATGGCTTCAGGTGATAAGAAAGGTATGTTGATTCCGGAGACATCCAAGTGCCCTTGTGCGTAATCTATTTTCGATAAAGTTTGTTTAAAGAAATCGTTTCCTAATATGCCGGATTGTGAAATTGGAAAATCGTTAGATACAATATGAAATATAACCGGTATTTCAAAAAGAGTTAATGTAATTTCACCTAAGGTGTACACAGGATAATTATTTATACCGTTCAACTTGAGGATATTAGTATAATTAATATTTATTTCTTCGGGAACGAGATTTTCTTTAATTATATTAGGTCCAGATCCCGTGTCTAGCATAAAAGTTATACTAGTAGTTAAATTATCGATGTTGATTTGAACGGTAGGCACGCGACTATGTTTGTCGAGGTTTACAGTCACGGGCCTTATGGTAGTTCTGTCCTTGTCTACTTGGCTACCTGAGTTTTGGACGGGTGCGGCTCTCGTTCGGACCCCTGCTGTGCACCCGACGTCGAGGGGCCGTTGTAGTTTCCCTGATTATTTTCCTTTTTTCGAAAGTTACTGGCATGGCGTAATTGACAATTTTCGAGAAGATGACCTTGCTCCTTGCAATAGCGGCAGAATAAAGAATTCCTAGATCCCGTTTGCTGGTTTAGTTTTGATCGACAATCTTTAGCAATGTGTCCGAAGTTGTTGCAAATTTGACAAGTTACGCGAGTTTTATTTCCCGCATAACGTTGTTCGTTCTGTTTCTTCCAACAATTATTTGCAGAATGGCCGGGTCTTTTGCACCATTGACAAATTACCGAGATTTTATTGTTATTAGTTGTATTATTCTGTCGGCAAGATTTTGCATCATGACCGGATTTTAAGCATAATTGGCAAGTTATTAATTTCCCTTGAACTACGTTTACTGGTCGGCGTTGCTGTGGATTGCGAAAGCGGCATTTCTCTGCTCCATGCCCACGTTTTTTACAAATTTGACATACTAATATCGCGGTTCCTAAATCAATTTGGTTGTTAACTTGTTGAGATGTTTGTAAATATTTCTTGCAGTTACTGCCTACGTGCCCTTCTTTATAACAGATTTGACAAATTTCTTTTAGACTGTTAGTTTTCTGTCTACCTGAACTGTTATCTATTCCCTGTCGTAAATCTGTCATTTCTCGGAGCTCTCTCTCTATCCTTAAAGCGTCGGCTGCAGTTTCTTGTACATTTAATAAATTTCTTGCAACTCGTTGTTCAATCTCTGGTTTTAACCCTCTAATAAAGCACTTGCACATGTTCATTGGTCAGTCACATTGGTCAGACGACACGTTTCCCGAACTTTTATATGTTTCTAAAATTTGTTTTCCAAGAATCTTTACTCTATTTGCATAAGTAATTACATCTTCGTCACCCTTTTGATATATACAACCCAATTCCCCTTGTAATTGATAAACGTTTTTTGCTGGTCCATAAATTTGTTTTAAATATTTAGTTAATTGAGAAACGCTATCAAAATCTTGACCTTGTATAGTTCGGCGAGCCTCCCCTATTATCCTGGTTCTTATTATTTTGGTAAACTGTGATTCAGCCTCACTAAGCAACATAGATTTCGCTTCTTCACATCCCTCGATATCGATAAAATGAATATTTTGACCGTCAAAATAAGGGACGGCTTCGACCGCGTATTTCAAAGTAGCGAAAGGATTATTTTGAGTCATGTTGGTCATGTTGCC